AAACGCTATACTATTTCTTTGTTGGATAAATTTTATTTTATGCTTTGGGCTCTCATCAATGAATTTCAGATTATGTATTTTAGGGGTGTTACAAGTTGGTATCAGAGCAATAGCTTAAGCGAACTAGGTAGGGAGCTAAGACGCCTAGACTTAAGCTGAGATTGTGAACATTAATTTGTGAATTATGGGTAAGAACCCTAACATAGGAGAGCCTTAGAGTCAACGAAGATTCATGATTCATGAACTGCGACGACGAGATTGAGGACCCTTATGTATAACCTATTCGAAATTTCACTTAGCTAATGCTATTTTGAGTATGTTGTTACATAAGCGTGCTCGAACTTACTGTTATTGCAAAGACTTATGAATGCATTGATCATAGAGATAGCAAATGGTAGTCAGGTTGTGGTACGTGAGATTGTTAGAAGTTGCGTATTGGGAGTTGAAGGGAAGGAATTTCGGGTAGATTTCATACCCAAGACTATAGGCGGATTCGATGTCATTATCGGGATGGATTGGTTGGTAGAGAACCAAGCAGAAAATTTTATGCTCTAAAAAGCTGATCCGAGTCCCTTTGCCGGATGGGGATGCAGTGATTGCCTGAGTTCTTCAACATCGCACTCGGGATTATCCAGATGCCTAAATAATAGAGGCTTAGTGTGGTGGTGCCACTCTATAGGAACAAAGGTAAAACACAATGGTAGAATATACTGGGCTTCTTTGGTTACCTGAAATTCGAGAGGTGACAATTTAAGATTTGCAGCAGCCTCAATCTACAGTCGACACTAACCAAAGGAAATGCAAATGTGAGGAATTGACATTTGTGGTTCACCTTGTTCAATAATCAGAACGTATGTTACAATCTGAGTACCTACTCAAATTGAACATGACTTATATAACAAAAGGATAGAAGCTTCAGCTTATTACACCAGCGAAGTAGGCTGGTAACGGAATTTGATGAGATGCTTATGCATCAATGGTTTAGCCTCTGTATGACCATGACATAACCGCCACCAAATTTATTGGAAGAAGAGTAAGTGATGAAGTTGTTCAGGAAGACATTAAGTTGTGGCCCTTTGAAGTGGTGGCTGGGAGTGGCGACAAACCAAAGATTGTAGTAAAATACGAGGATGAAAAGAAGGATTTTTCTGCTGAAGAGATATCTTCCATGATTTTGATGAAAATGAAAGGGGGAAGTTGAGATCAAAATATACTATGAGATAGATGACAATGGGATCCTGCATGTCTCAGCTAGGGAATTAACTACTGACAGGAACAAGCGATCAAGATAACCGACGGTGGTGGCCTGTCAAAAGCGGGGATTGCCAAAATGATTAAAGATGCTGAACGATATAAGCAAGAGGAGGAAGCACACATAAAGAAGGTGATGGCCCATAAAGCTTTAAATGACTATGTGTATCGGTTGAGAGTCAACTTAAACCGATACAAGATTCGGTTGAGTCTAATTATGGATATGGGGCTTAGTGTTAAAGACTTGGAAGAGATAGAATATGAGATCAAGGAGACAATCGAGTGGCTTGATGAAAACCTGATGCCGATACTGATGAGTTAGAGGAGAAGGAAATGGAGCTTGACAGTATATGCAGACGGACCAAGTATAAGCTATCTTGATGCCGTAGGGCATATGATGGTAAGGTAGTATGACACATATTGCACCGAACAAGATCATCTTTGAAGTATGTAGCTAGTTTTTATGCATGCTTGGTATATTAGCATGTTTTTCCTAGCCATGAGCAGATTAGGGACTGAAGGCAAAAGTGAGCACAGTGAACTTTGTGGTCAATGAATTTTGGTAACAACGATGCTTAACTTGATTCTTGTTAATCTAATTTGAAGAGTTTGAAACATGGTTTAGTAGTTTTTTTATCGACCATTTGATGTGGTGAGCCTCTAGGTACAAATGTTCTAGCATTAAGCCTGGTGGTTGCAAATAGTCTTGAATTGCCTAAGCTAGTCCAATATATTCTTTTGTGTTTATCTCTTAATGCATGCTTTCTAGGTGCATGTACAATTACTTTTCTATTTTAACTTGTACGACACCTTAGAACCTTTTCCGGTATGTTGGCTTGAAGCGGGTGAGAGACCATTCGCCGGTCCCGAAATCATGCAAGAAACGGCCCGAAAGGGGTGAAGTGTATTCGAGAGCGCTTAAAGGCAGTTCATAATCGATAAAAGAGTTATGTAGATACAAGGAGCCGACCTATAGAATTCCAAGTGGGCGACCGCGTTATGGTAAAAGTAGCTCCCTGGAAGGGCATTGCCCGTTTTGGGAAGCATGGAGAACTCAGACCCCGTTCCCTCGGACCATTCAAAATTTTGGCTAGAGTGGGACTGCAAGCTTATAAACTAGAACTACCACCGGAAATGGATGGAATCCATAACACATTTCATGTATGTTACCTTCGTAAGTGCTTAGCGGAAGAGGAAAATGTTATTCCACTTTTAGAAATTCTTGTGGATGAGAACAACCAGTGTGTTGAAGAACCGGAAGCCATATTGGAAAGAAAGACTAAAGTGTTGAGACACAAAGAAATTGTTATGGTTAAAGTACAATGGAAGCACCACCGAGGGTTGAACGTGACTTGGGAAGCGGAAGAGGATTTGAAGAGGCGTTACCCCCGTCTTTTCGTTTGAAATAAATTTCGAGGACGAAATTCAATCCAAGATAGGGAGGATTGTTACACCTATTTTTTCCCCTTTTGTTTATTTGGCCCTTTTAAATTGGGGGGGGGGGGTTTACCTACTGTATATAGTTGGTGACCATTTGATCTTCCTCACTTGCTACTTTTTTTTCTTTTGATATGATGGTTGGGGTTAGTAGTTGGGGGATAAAGGCCTTACCAGGGAAGGAAAGGTGAAAGGCACTTTTCAAGAGGGAGCAGGAAAGGAAAAAGAGAGGATGAGAGAGAGTGCATCTATGGACCGCCGTTCGAAAGGGGGGGGGGAAGGTATTGTGGTCTCTTCCTGATTTTCTTATGCCCTTTGAAAGGATCAACAGCTTCAAGGATTGTTCGGCCACATCTGCACCATGCTTTCAACCCACACCATCTTCACTCCATCTGTTCCCAACCCTTGAATCCAACAGCCAGCAACAATAAGGATCAGGACTGTTGCGTCCTTTTTGAATCAACCAGCAGGCTGCGGCTTGCCGTGCTGTTTCTCCATTTTCCCTAAGCCYGATRCAGCAGGCGCCGCCGTACYGTTGCRAGCATCAAAACAGTGGACARCAAGCAGCAGCCGCTGCTGTCCTGTCTCTTCGATACCTGGTCTGAAGGAATAAAATAGCAGCCGTGGGTTGCTGGTTTGAAGAAGGAGCTGCAGGTTGCTGTTTGGTCGTAGTCGACGGAAAAAGAARCTGTTGTTTATGCTGTTTGGTCGCGYACTGAAGGACTGTTTGGCTCACGAAGAAGCAGTCGGTAGCTGCTGGTTGAAGACAGAAACARCGGCTGYTGTTGGGTCGTTGGCCGAMRGAAAAGAAGCAGCAAAYAGCTGCTGTTTGGTYACGCATCGGACGGGAACGGTTGCTGTTTGGCAGCTGCTGTTCGGTTGCGCATCAGATGGAAAAGAGCTGCTGGTTTGGGGCCAAACAGGGCGCCAGGACTGTCTAGTTTGAAGGGTCGCGACACTTCACCCTCGGCTGTACACCGCTACACCGCACCACCATCCTCTCCCACAACTTGGACATCGATAGCAGACCCTGTCGTGTCAATCAGACAGCGGGTGCTGCCGTGCAACGACGGACAGCAGGCAGCTGTTTTGGCGTGCAGCAGGCCGAGACGGACAGCAGGCAGCTGTTTTGGCGCGCAGCAGGCCGAGACGGACAGCAGGCAGCTGTCTTGCCGCGTAGCAGGCCGAGACGAACAGCAGGCAGCTGTCTTGGCGCGCAGCAGACCGAGACAGACAACAAGCAGCTCTTTGGCGCGCAAGTTTGGAAGTTTGATCAGAAACAGCAACTTCAGTCCAGATTTTTGGGATTTCCTCTAAATCCTACAAGGTGAGTCCATATCAACACTTCTATGAGATCTAAAACGATTACCATATTATATCTTACTCGCTATATACTCTAGTTCTTATTGAACTACTTGTTTGGATGAAACGAGAATCCCGAGTTTAAGGTGAGTAAACTTAGTAATGACGCTGTTGATGATAGAAGAAGCTTGAAAGGATTATTAACTAAGAGGATTGYATTGTTTAGTCCCGTCTTGACCCATCTCCGMGTTCGAGTTTGGACAGCCCCTCACCCTTCATTGTGAGTCCACTTTTACCRTTAAAATCATTATACTTATATTAATATTGTGTTTTATGCCTCAAGTCTTAATACCTAGATAAAAATAACTATTTTAGATGAATCATATTTTGGTCGAAGGAGATGAACTCGGATGAGTCCATTAATGAGGAAAATTGGATTGGGTAGATGGTTTTGATCACTTTAGGTAGAATAACCATTTCTCTAAGCATTATTAGACGTTGAATTATAAAAACCTTTCACTAGTGGCTTGAGGATTCCTTTTGCATGGGAAATGATCATTCCGTTGATTTTCTTCATTTATGGCTAATTTGGTGAAATTCTTGTGTGTTGACCTTGTAATCAATAATATAGACATGGTTAGATGGTATTTTGATTGTTGGAAAAAAGATTGAATCCAAAATATGGATTTTAGTCTATTTAGTTGGTGAATTTGACAGCACCAAATCTACCCGAGATGCTGTTTTGAATGTGCGATAACTTCTTAACCGTAGCTCAGATTGCTACGATTCTGGACATTTTAGTAAGCTTATATATAGATCTAAACCTGTCCTTTAGAAACCTTTTAGAAATAAGACTTTTAGGTTGGTTATATTTGCGTCTCAAAACTGATAAAAAGCTAATTTTGAGCTGCGAATTACAGTGCCTAAAATGAGTTTAAATTAAGTTTGGTTAAGTTTTGTTGTCGGATCTTTATGAAACTTTGGGTACATATTACAAGTGTTAAATAAGCTCA